TCCCTCACATGCTAGGCTATAGCTACATTTGTGGTCACATTATATACAATTAAATTCATAAAATTTCCAATCATTATTAAACATGTACATGTACATGCATAGCTTACATAAGAACAGCTTCTTTTGGCTTTCCAGCTCTAATAAATGCCAACTCAGCTTCACTATATTTACCCTAACAACATGAACACACACTAACAGTGCTGTGTATAGTAACTAACAAAATACCTCATCCTCAAGATATATTGCATATTTTAAATGAATCTCAGGCACTTTTGACTTTAAAGCAGCCTTTGCTATCTCAAAAGCAAAATCAAATGAGCTAAAACAAAGCAAAAATAAAATGAGCTCAACATTACTATTATTTATTTATTATTGGTATTACTAGTTTTCAGTCGCATAATCAACAGCAGCTTCAAGGAGACCAAACTTCGACAATAACTTGACGGCAGAATCACCACCTACAATGTACATGTGTACATGTAATAAATACACATACATGTACATGTACATGTCTCATACCGTAGGCCGGGTTTTGATTGTGTATCTAATAGATTGTGAATTTGAAAAAATAACTAGTTTGCGTTTCCAACAATTGCGAGATGCTAGCCTAGCTAGCCATACTCACAAGTTAACTGATTGTCTTGTTTCTCTCCTTTGCCATCTAAAGCTACTGCCACAGCTTGATTAACTTCCTTCAAGATGTGAGGTGGCATTGGGACTTGACTAGATGAGGTAATTTGGGCTGAAAATAGCACAGGATACCACTCATGATGCTGTAAAATGAAACACGTGTAGAGAAAATGATTGATAGGCGTGGTGCTTATTAATTATTATAGGCGTGGCGTTTATCAATTATTATTAATTACGATTCTTTTCATTGCGAGATGTATTCCAGACTCGCAATTTGCAATCAAAAAAACCTCGCAATCGAAACCCAGCCTACAGTATACAAATGTACATGCACATTAAATGTACATGTACAAGTGTGTTACATGGACACAATAATCAAAAACAATAAAATGTACAAAATAATATAACATGTACATTATTACCTAAACTCTTAGCCCAGAGATAAGCTACTTGATTAGCAGCATTACTGCCACCATGAGCTTTTGCAACCTAAAAGAAACATGAATATTAAGTACATGTACATGTACATGTAT